TGGTGGCTGGCAGTCGTTGGGTTTCCCTGACTTGTAACTGCATAGGTCTGGTCTCTGCCTCTGTCTTCATGTAGCATTCTTCCTTTATGTCTTCATATCATCTTCTCCCTGTGTGTATGTATGCATGTAATTTCCCCTATTTATAAGGACAGCAATCTTCTTAGATTAGGGCCCACCCTAATGACCTTATTTTAATTTGGTTAAATCTGCAGAGATCCTATTTCCAAATAAGGTCACACTCTGAGGTACTAAGGGTTAGTACTTACACATATCTTTTTGCGGGGGACATAATTCAGCCCATAACAGGTATCTTTAAAGGAATTGAATTCCAGAACCACAAATATTATATGTTTACCTTTCCTAAAATTGATGTAAAATCTCTGAATTTTAAAGAGGAGCTTTTTCATATCTATTCTTTGTTGGATGGATGGCTATTCAACTGCTGTGGTATTTACAAGTGACTCTTAAATACAGAGAACAAACTGAGGGTGGCTGGGGGGGGAGGGGAAAATTGGTGATGGGCGTTGAGGAGGGCACTTGTTGGGATGAGTCACTGGGTGTTGTAAGTAAGCCAATTTGACAACAAACTATATTTTAAAAAAAGGACAAAAATGCTGTAGTATTTAGATTCCATTGTAAAGTGCTATGACATTTAAATTTTAATGGCAGTGTTTATAATCTGCCGGAAATTATATTTTTTCCAACTATTTAAGTCCATGATGAAAAACTTTAGGTATCAACTTAAAAATGTGTAAGGGAATATACCTAGTTGTAGAAAGCTACTTAAGGGAATGTGTGAGCAAAATTTTTTGAAGACCCATTGGTCTAAAGCAGGGTTTCTCAACCTTGGGATTATTGATGTTTCAGATTAGGTAATTCTTTGTTGTGAGGAGCATGTTTTATGCATTGTAGGATGTTTAGGAGCATCCTTGGCCTCTACACCCTAGGTGCCAGTAGCAGCTCCCCAGAGGTGACAACCAAAAGTGTCTTCAGACATTGGCAAATGTCCCCTGGGGAGCAAAATTGCTCTTGGTCATTGAAATAGAGTATAATGATCTCCTTTCAGTCAGTAATGTAGAATATATATTAGCATTTCAGACATTTGCTCATCTCAATTTTTTTATTTTTATTTTTTATTTTTTATTTTTTTTAACGTTTATTTATTTTTGAGACAGAGAGAGACAGAGCATGAACAGGGGAGGGTCAGAGAGGGAGACACAGAATCTGAAGCAGGCTCCAGGCTCTGAGCTATCAGCACAGAGCCCGACGTGGGGCTTGAACTCTCAGACCTCGAGATCACGACCTGAGCTGAAGTCGGAAGCTTAACCAACTAGCCACCCAGGCGCCCCCATCTCAATTTTTTTAAAGTCTATTTATTTTGAGAGAGAGAGAGTGTGTGAAGAGAATGGGGGAGGGGCAGAGAGAGAGGGAGACACAGAATCTGAAGCAGGCTCCAGGCTCTGAGCTGGCAGCACAGAGCCCGACACAGGGCTTGAACCCATGAATCGTGAGATCATGACCTGAGCCAAAGTCAAGGGTTGACACTTAAACTGACTGAGCCATCCAGGTGCCTCTGCTAATCTCAATTTTGAGATATAGCTCTAGACATGACCTAATATGACAGATTTTCAAGAGATATCACCTAAGGGTATTGATAATAATTTATTCACTAAAGTCAATACATTTTATCCCAGTATCAAGGCATATATCCAAACAGCTATGTATAAATTGTCTGTTAACTTTTGCCCCATCTCTGTAAATTAGAAGTCCTTGCTTATATCTGAAGTCAAGAAATGGCCGTGTGGAAAGCCTCTATGTTTTGTAAAAGTTCTTTTTTTTTAAAAAAAAATTTTATTTATTTATCTTAAGAGAGAGAGAGAGAGCAAACAGAGGAGGGGCAGAGAGAGAGGGAAACAGAGGATCCGAGGCAGGCTCTGCACTGTCAGCCCAAAGCGGGGCTCAAACTCGTGAACCATGAGATCATGATCTGAGTTGAAATTGAGAGTCAGATGCTCAACCAACTGAGCCATCCAGGCACCCCTGTTTTGTAAAAGTTCTTATTGAGGACTTTCTCTGTTTTTCCCTTGGATCATGAACCAAACAAACCAAGTTCCCACGGTTGCTCAGAGGTGAATTGGAATGCTTTCTTTCAATTATATCACAAGAGCTCTATAAAGCTTTTGTCTTAACTGCCAAGAAGCTCTGACCCAAATTTGTGGCCCAATTACAATGTCTTCTCTTTCTTGTTTCCTAGTAAAGTTGACCCTTGAACGGTGCAAGGGTTAGGGGAGCTGACCCCTGTGCAATAAAAAATCTGTGACTTTTGATTCCTCCAAAACTTAACTACTAATAGCCTACTGTTGACTGGAAGATTTATCAATAACAGTAAATTAACACACATTTTGTATATTATATTATTCTATACTGTATTCTTACATAAAGTAAGCTAGAGAAAAGACTGTTATTAAAAATATTATAAGGAGGGGGACCTGGGTGGCTCAGTCAGTTAAGTATCCAACTTTGGCTGAGGTCATGATCTTGCAGTTCATGAGTTCAAGCCCCACATCAGCTCCATGGTGACAGCTTGGAGCCTGGAGCCTGCTTCAGATTCTATGTCTCCCTTTCTATCTGCCCCTCCTCTGCTTGTGTTCTCTCTCTCTCTCTTAAGAATAAATAAACATTAAACTACATTTTAATAAAAAAAGAGTATCATAAGGAAAATATATTTTACAGTACTGTATTTATTGAAAACAAAATCCACATATAAGTATACCTGTGCAGTTCAAATCAGTGTTTTTCTTTTTTTTTTTTTTTTTTTTTTTTTTTTTTTTTTTTTTTAATTTTTTTTTTCAACGTTTATTTATTTTTGGGACAGAGAGAGACAGAGCATGAACGGGCGAGGGGCAGAGAGAGAGGGAGACACAGAATCGGAAACAGGCTCCAGGCTCTGAGCCATCAGCCCAGAGCCCGACGCGGGGCTCGAACTCACGGACCGTGAGATCGTGACCTGGTTGAAGTTGGACGCTTAACCGACTGCGCCACCCAGGCGCCCCTAAATCAGTGTTTTTCAAGAGTCAGCTGTATATTATTTCTTCACTCTCAACTCTTCCCTTCATTTTATTACTTTTTTTGCTTGTTTAAATGGTTCTCAGTTATACTGAATCTGTGGCTTTTAGTGTAAGACCTTGTTTTGGAAATTTGAATACATTAAATAAATTAAGTTTATGGGTGACATAGTTTGAACTTTCAATAGCCCAACAAAAGTGTGCAAAGTCATTATACATTTTTTTCTAATGTCATTTTCTCAGTGTACTACTCTGGCCTAAAAAAGGACAATGATTTGTTGGAAATCATAAGATAATTATAATGTAGACAGAAAATGAATACCATTTTCCTCTCATGATAAAACTCTAGGGTCTCTTTTAGACTATTATACAATTCGATTTTCATTTTCTGAAAAAACAAAAACAAAAACAAAAAGTGTAATTATTGATCCTAAACATAGAGATAAGCAATTACTGAAACTAGCCTAAAAACCTTAGTACCTTTTAATCAGGAATGGTGAAGGTGGAAAAGGCACTAACATTTAGCAAATAACTACACTATGCTGTGCTTTGTACTAGGTACTTTATATCATATTTAGTCCCCACAATAGTCGTATGACATAGATGATCTTGGTGCTATTTTTATCTACCAGGAACCCAAGGTTCTGAAAGAGGCAATGCACAGATAGGTTATTCACATCCCAAAGTTCTTGCTCTTTACACAATGAAGCTATAAAGGTTTCAGGACAGTGTCTGCCTAGCACATAGTAAGCTCTGTAAGTATTACTTCCTCTTATTATGTCATCTGAGGTATAAGTAAAGATCAAAAATGTTAAATGCTGAAGTGGTATATTACATCAATTCCTGGAGGGAATAGAGAAACGAATATATTTAAAATAACCCAGGGGGGCACCTACCTGGCTCAGTCCATAGAGCATGCAACTCTTTTATTTTTTAGAGAGAGAGAGACCACATAAGCAGGGGAGAGGGGCAGAGGGAGAGAGAGAGACAGACAGAGAGAGACAGAGAGAATCTCAAGCAGGTTCCATGCTCAGTGCAGAGCTTAACCCGGGGCTCGATCCCATGACCATGGGATCATGACCTGAGCTGAAATCAAGAGTCAGACAAGAGTCAAGAGCCTGGGGGCTCAGTCAGTTAAGCATCCAACTTCAGCTCAGGTCATGACCTCATTTTTTGTGGGTTTAAGCCCTGCATCGGGCTCTGTGTTGACAGCTCAGATCCTGGACCCTGCTTCAGATTCTATTGTCTTCCTCTCTCTCTGTCTCTCCCCTGCTTGCACTCTGTCTCTCTCTCTTTCAAAAATAAAAAAAAATAAATAAAGAGTCAGACACTTAGCCAACTGAGCCACCAAGCGCCTCAGAGCATGCAACTCTTGATCTTGGGGTTATGAGTTCAAGCCCCACATTGGGCATAGAGATTACTTAATAAACAAATTAATTTTTAAAAATAGAATAAATAATCTATTTAGAATAAATGAAAATAATCTAAGTTTATGAAAACTGTCTTCTGCAAGAGTTGATATAAACTGGAAATACAAAATCAGATCATATTAAATTTAATTAATTACCCAATGAGTTACTAACAAAAATTTGAGAAGTATTCTTTACTCTACAGATAAAGTAAAGGGCAATAATACTGTGCAATTCTTGTCACCTTTGTCAGAGGTGAGAGATTAAAGTAGATGGGTCATGCATCTAACCCGATGTGACAATTCTTACATGTTTGTGTTAAGACCACTGTATCATATTATCCTTTATCTTGTATATATACATTTAGATATTCCTATCTAAAGTCTCATGTCAGATATTATATTGGGATGTGGTTTGTTATAATTTTATATTTTCTTGTGTTTTTTTGCTAGTCTTAAGCATAATTACATACCTTTCCTGCAGAGAAAAACACAGTGGTTTCTTGCTTTTTTTTTCTGCCTTTTAGTTCCTTGTTTTCCAGCACCCAACATAACTTGTAAGGATTTCAGTGGCAATGAAACACATTTTACTGGGAACGAAGTTGGTTTTCTCAAGCCTATATCTTGCCGAAATGTGTAAGTCCATTACTGAAGCTAAATGTTCAGATTACTTGCCTGTGTTGTATCTTGACTGCATGGTGTAAAGAGATAAAGAGCAATTTGTGGGGAAAATCCAACACTAATATAACTTTTATGTCTATGTCAGAAAACCTCTATTTTAAGTGTATTTTGTTATATAAATACAATTGACCACCAAGTAAAGCATAGTAGTTCACCATGTGGAATAAATAAAGACTGTGAATAGCCTCATGCCATGTTATTTCGGTCAGTTTATGCCACTAAATGAGTTATGAAAAATTCTGTTTTTAAAATTTGGGGGGTTTCTAGAGTGCAAATAAGGGATCGTGTACCTGTAATAGTAAAAGAATGTTAATTATCAATCATTTGCATTTCAAGGGCATTTTGAAATTTTGTTTCATTCTTGGTAATAGGTATGGATGAGGAATGGTTAAACAGCATTCAAAAGTTTGGGACATTAAGACAAATGGCTTTTATTTTGTTAAGAGTGTTCTTTGTTTTTAAAAATTTCTTTAAATGTTTTTATTTTTGAGAGAGAGAGAGAGACAGCACAAGTGGCTGGTGGGGGGTGGGGAGTGCAGAGAAGGAGAGAGACACAGAATCCAAATCAGGCTTCAGGCTCTGAGCTGTCAGCACAGAGCCTGATGTGGGGCTTGACTGCATGAGTCATGAAATCATGACCTGAGCTAAAGTCGGATGCTTAACCGACTGAGCCACCCAGGCGCCCCGAGTGTTCTTTGTTTAAAGGACTTTTAAGTTTGCCTTTTATTTTTGCTTTGGTAAAGCTAACATTGTATTCTTCTATTTCTGCTTTGTACTAAAAACATGGTTTAGTTTCACCCATTTTTATTTAATTGGTGGCACTATATTTTTACCTTTGAACTGTACATTGTTTTATTTGATGGCACCTATTTGCAGTTGTATCAAGGAATAACCACTGTTATTTCTTTCTTTCCTTTTCTTTCTTTCTTTCCTTTCTTTCTTTCTTACTGTTTGGCTATTTCTACCAGTTCTATTAGAATTCCTAGAAATTATAGTAGAGTCTTATTTTTGACCCTACTTCACTGAGTTAATGAGGAGCTTTAGATTCTATCTTGCCGTGTAATCCTAAGTGAATCACTTAAACTTTTTTGGGTTTAAAGAATGCTCATTAGTAAAGTAAAAATTGCTAAAAGGATTTACTTCACAAGTACTTAGATATGGTTTAGCCAAGTTTTGAATTTATAGATTGATATTTCTACCATAAAAAATCCAAATGACAATTTATTAAGCGTTGGTCCAAGATATCATAGATTATAGTATAACAACTAAGAAAATCATCTATTGAGAACAGTTAACCACTCAGGTTGGACATGGAAGTTTATATTACCTGTTATGGTAACACCACAATGGTCTGTTAATCAATTTCCAAATTAATTCTGATTTCTTTTCAGTGTCTCTGGGTAGATTAGGCTCAGTGCAACTGAGCTATACTAGTCATGCTTACAAAACAGTGATGTCAGTGATAAGAAGAAATGTAATTATCAAGGAAACCAGATACTCGCAAGTATACTGGCCAACTTATTCCCCTCCTATAGTAAAATCTGCAGTTCCAAAATAGAATTCACTTAATGAGCATTGAATCAGAACAAGGGGAGTTAAATTGATGGGTAATTTTAATGATAAGTCACAAAATTAAGATCAACTCATAAGTCATTTTTCTATATCAGGATATTCAGTACATGCCTACCAAAGATCCAGCTCCTGGTCAGCTACTGAATGCTCAGTGACAAATTCTTACTCATTGAGTGTTCCTTTTCCAGTTTACATATTTTCCTTCTACTCCTGTTACTCCTGTATATAATATTGATAGTTGATTAAAACTCCTATCTTAATATTGCAGATACAGTCATTCTATAATGTATTCTCCAGCAACTAAAGTCTAGCAACCATGTCTGATTGATTACCAAGCCACACACCTATTTATACTGGCCAGTTATTTTAGCTGGAGCAGGCTAACTGCTGTAACAGATGTCTTTAGAATTTCAGTGGCTTAACGCAATAAAAGTTATTTCCCATTTACATCATGGTCCAAATGGTGTTGGCTTGGAGGTCTGGATGAGGTAAGGGGAGTGATTGTTGTTCTATGCAGCCATGCCGGAGCCTTGCTCCTTTCATCTTGTGGCTTTGCTTCCTCTAGTCCTCACAGTCCTTTCCATTCAGCCAGCAAGGGGGAAAGAGGAAAAGCAACCCCGTATAGGAGTATTTTATGGGCCAGATCTAGAAATGGCACACATCACTTGTGTCCTCATTACACTGGGCAAAACTCAGTTATGACTGCACTTAAGTTCAAGGTGGGCTAGAATATATAGCTTAGCTATACATCTGTGAGCATAAGAGCAGTGTTTCAGTGAACAATTAGACAATGTCTGCTACACCACCCATTTTCAGATTATTCTTTAGGATGGTTTAATATATAGATCATTGTATTTCCAATTTCATTCCCCTTTCCAGCCAAGCTTTTTGAAAGGTATGTTCCTACAATACTTCCCTGTTATGAATTTTTCTGTCTAATGTAAAGACAGTTTTTCTGTCTAAGTTTTTGGCCATGCTGAAATTTGCTGCTATATCAAATAGATCTTTATGATCCATATCTTAATCTTTCTACAGCATTTGGCATTCCCTTCTCTTAAAATATTTTCTTTCCTTGACTTTTGTATAAAGCACTCTTCTATTCCTTTTGATTCCTCTTCTTTTTTCTATAAATCTTGATATTCCCAAGATTATATCCTTGGTCCTATTCTCTTTGTCATTCATTCCCCTCTTTGGCTTCTCTCACCATCTTTATGTGTATTAAAGTCCCAAACTGAATCTATCATCTTTTCCTTCAGATCATTTCCTCCTTTGTCTTAGTGTATGGCCCATGCTCTACTCAGTTTCTTAAGCTGAAACTTTGGAGTCATTCTTGACTTCTCCTTTTCCCTCATTTCCCACATTTAGCACGGTTACTTCTACCTTAGTATTTCCCAATTTTGTTTACATTACTCTTCTAGTGCTACTGCCTAGTAGGTTATGGCTTGAGTTTCTTAAAAGCCGACTAATTTATTTCTCTACTTCTGGTCTGGTGCCCCATTCCAATGTAGATAGGACAACCACTGCCCTCAGCATAAAATCTGACATCCTTGTAAGAACAGGATCTTTGGGCCATCTATCATCCTCCATGTTCCCCAAAATGTCCTAATTGTGAGTGAAATGCAAAAAATATAGGATTGTAAGCAGATGGACATAATCAGATTTGATATTAAAGTGATAACTCCAGCTACTTCTCTGTTTATTTCTTTTTTGCAGCAAATCTCCTTCAAAGAGTTGTCTAATACTCTTGTACTTCAATTTTTTTCGTTCCAGGCTTTCTTAAGCCTGCTTTGTTTGGTCTTTTTTCTCTACCACATCACCAAAATTGTCCTTGCTGAGGTCACTAATGAACTTCTCTTGACTAAATTTGGTGGTAAATTCTCAGCCGTTACTTATGTGACCCATCAGTCACATTTGGCACAATTATCACTCTGTTCTCCTTAATACATAGTACTATCTTCGCTTGACTTCCAAGATATCACACTCTTCTAGTTTAACTTCTTCCTCAATGTTAGCTCTTTCTCAGTCTCCTTTCCAGCTTTTTCTCTTCTTGGTCTCTTAATATTGGAGTATATCAGGGCCCATTCTGTGAATCTTTTTTTTTTTTTTTTTTTTTTTTTTTTTTTTTTTTTTTTTTTTTTTTTTTTTTTTTTTTGTCTATCTTTTCTTACATGGCAATATCCTGGTTTTAAATACTTGGTATATGCTTGTAACTCCCTAATTTATATCTCCAGCTCAGACTTCTCTCTCTAACTCTAGACTTGTAAATCTGACTGTCTTTTGGACAACTCAACTTGGATGTCTGAGAAACATCTCAAACTCACATGCCCAACAATGAAATCCTGAACATCCTTCCAAGGTGTAGTCTACACTCAGCCTTACTCAACTCAGTTAATGCTTGTTTTATCCCTCTAGTTACTTAGGACAAAATCTTTAGCTTTATTCTTACTCCTTTCTTCTTTCACAACCCAAATTGAATACATCAGGAAATCCGGATATTGTTACTTCAGAATATATCCAAAATCTGATCACTTCTTAGTGTTTCTTTTGCTATTACTCCAGGTCAAGCCACTATTAATTTTGATCTGGATTACAGCAAGAGCCTTCAGAGCCCTTTGTCTCTGTGGTAGTTGGAATTTGTTCAGCAAATTCATCCCTCTCAATCACTATTAACTGGGCAATGTATACTTTCCACTCTATTGATTTGGGGCTTGACCCTGTGATTGTATTTGGCCTGTGTAATGCTAGCCAGTATGAAACAAGCAGAGTCTTAAATGTGCTTGTGAGTTTTAGCTTTCGTCTTGAACCTTGGTGACATGCTCTGAAGAGAACTTGCCCCAGGTAAATGCTATACCTTCAGCCTGGGCCCTAGAAAAACTTAAGAGGAACTAATTTGAACTGATTTGAACTAGCCTGGATTTAAACTGAGCCAAACTTTAGCCTGAAGCAACATCTCCTGGCTGAACCCACTCTACATCAGCTGAACCACAGCCAGCTGCAGTCTACAAGTATGAGAACAATTCCTTGTTGTAAGCCACAGAGATTTAGGGTGGTTTGTTATACAATGTTATTGTGACAGTAACTCACAAGTACTCCCCTACAGTCAGTTTTCAGCACAGCAGCTAGAGTAATTATTGTAAAATCAAAATCAGATCATACCACATGTTTACTTAACATGCTATAGTAGCTTCCCATATCTTTCAAAGTAAAAACCAAAGTCTTTACAATGGTATTCAGGGCCATACGTGATTTGCCGTTTTTGCCCCTTGTTATCCCTCTGACCTCAGCTCCTACTCCTCTGTTCTCTAATTCTGTTCCTACTATACTGGCCTCCTTTATAGTCTTCAAAACATGTCAGGTATGCTGTCCTTGCCACAGTGGTTACTTTTGCCTGGGGCTCTCTTCCCTTCCAGGTGTGGTGTGGCTCACTAACTCACTGACTTCCCTCAGGTCTTTGTGCATATGCCCCCTTCTCAATGATGCCTACTCTTATTACCCTGTTTATATCTTATATCACCCTTGTCTGTATCCCTGGCATTCTGAATTCCCTAAATGCCCTGCTCCACTTCTTTTTTCCATAGCATTTATGACTTTCTAACATAATATATGGTTTACTTTTAAAATACATTTATTTTTACTGCTTGCTGCCTGTAGATTGAAAGCTCTTTAGGGGCAAGGATCTTTGTTTCTTTTGTTTGTTAGTATATCCCAATAGCCCAGCATAATGCCTGGCATGCAGTAACCACCCAAAAGGCATTAAGTAAATGAATGAATGGATGAACAAATTAACAAATAAGTATTAATTAATAGTTTTACTTCCTGAAATGTCTACATGTTGAGAATGCATGTATATAACACTCAGGTTCTAATTTTGTACAGAAATGGCTATTCATACAAAGTGGCAGTTGCACTATCTCTTTTTCTTGGATGGTTGGGAGCCGATCGGTTTTACCTTGGATACCCTGCCTTGGGTGAGTATGTTTCATCAAAAAAAAAAAAAAAAAAAAAATCCTTGTGAAACCTGTACGGTAGGTAAATGTACCTATTCTTATAGATTAAATCTCTGCATACTATTAATAGTTACAACTTCCAACTAACCGGAGTTGAATAGTTAATGTTCTTCTGTGAATATAGAGCTAGCTCTACAATTCAGCTTGGGTAAGAAATATTGACCTCTCCTGTATTTTCATCTTTTTGAAAACACATAACATAGTATAGGTACTTCCTGTCATTGCTAGTACTGGGCAACATGGTAGACATTTAATAAATCTTTTATGAGTAAATGCATATCCCTTCTATCCCTCTAAAAATATTTGCCTTCTACCTGAACCTCTGTCAGTGTTCCCTTGAGAATAGAAACTACTTCTTTTCAGAAGACGTTGGGATTGCAACTCCAGCTACCGGCATGAGCTGGTGTAGAACCTGACTTTTAGTACCCTTAGCATCCCCCTTATATGTTCCTTATAGCCGTAATCTTCACATTTACCCTAGTTACTAATGCTTATGCAAACTGTATACATTTGATGATAGCTTTTGTTTGAACAATACTTTTATATACCTACCCTTATTTAAACCTTACAGCTCTCAGACTTTATCAACCTCTTTAAATCTTCTTTACCAGGTAGGGAAATTGTCACCAGAGAGGTTAAGGGATTTACTCACTCTAGAGGCCTTGCTTTATTCTGTGACACATTTGTTGTTATCGTCCTTATTTTATGGATAGGGAAATTGTCATGAGATTAAGAGATTTACCCAAGGACGCTCAGCTAGTGACCTGAATTTGAACCTAAATTTTCTGGCCCAAGAGATCATACTTTATTTACTGTAGTACTCTGATTCTTTATTAGCCCTGTACTGAGAAAAATTTAAAGTTTCTGAATGCTCTACTTTCCAGCTAGCAAGGCTAATCTTATTCTTTCCATGTTGCTACCCACCAGAGATCAAAGAGGAATCTTTACTGTGGTGTTAGTGGGAAGTATATTTCTGATAGCCTTACTTGGAACTGGACAAATTTGTCCAGTTAATAGACATTTATTCAACATTCACTACCTGTTAAGTAAGTGCATGCTCTGGAAATAATGATGAAGATCACAGTTCTCATTGGCTAAGACCATATAAAATCATATAATCTTCATAGAAGGCCTCAGAGTTGTTAAAATAACAACCCTTTAGCCTAACTTTCTTTTTAGATGATGGATGGACAGATGGATGGACAAAAGGAAGGATGGATAGTTGGACAGAGAAACTAGATTCATAGTGAGAAAGTAAAATGATATGGTGATGGTAAGAATACACCTGAAGCCTTCTGCCTTTATCCTTGTATTTTCTTTGCTTTTTTTTTTAAGTTTATTTATTTTGAGAGAGAGAGGACGAGCTAGAGAGGGGCAGAGAGAGAAGGGGACAGAGGATCTGAAGCAGGCAGTATGCTGACAGCAGAGAGCCTCATGCAGGGCTCGAACTCATGAACTGGGAGGTCATGACCTGAGCCAAAGTTAGGTGCTTAGCTGACTGAGACACCCGGGTGCCCCCTCCTTGTATTTCCTTCTATGTTTTCTTTAAAAAAAAAAAAAAAAGTTTTAAATTTTTATTTATTTATTTTTGAGAGAGAGAGAGTACATGTGCAAGCATGAGCAGTGGAGAGGGAGAGAGAGAATCCCAAGCAGACTCCATGTTGTCAACACAGAGCCCAATGTGGGGCAACACAGGGCTCGATCTCACCAACTGTGAGATCATGACCTGAGTTGAAACCAAGAGTCGGACGCTTAACCAACTGAGCCATCCATGTGCCTGTCTTCTATGTTGTCTTTAAGAAGATGAAATTGTATAGGACTACCTGGGTGGTTCAGTCAATTAAGCATCTCTTGGTTTCGGCTCAGGTCATGATCTCACGGTGAGTTCAAGCCCTGCATTGGACTCTGTGCTGACAGCACAGAGCATGCTTGGGATTCTCTCTTTCCCTCTCTCTCTGGTCCTCCCCCACTCGCTCTCTCTCAAAATAAATAAACTTTCAAAAATAACTTTTTTAAAAAGACAGAATTATATATATATATTTTGTAAAGATTTCTAACTTTCAGAAAGTTTTTAAAAAGTTAGGAGGGAAGGAGAAACGCTGTTCTTTACAACAGTTTATTCTGTGATGATTTCGAAGCCTATTTTAAATTTTAAATATTTGGCCTAACGAGTGACTTTTTGGTTTTTTGTGTTGTGTGTTGGATGAGCTGTCATGTCATATGTGTAAGTTAATGTTTTTTTCTTACTGCAGCACATAATATGTTGGTATGTATATTGTGAATTTTTCTTCCTGCAAAGGAAAATTCTAGGTAAACCTCCGTATAAAGCTCTGTATAGTGAATATTAGTTTCCTGCCAGGAGCTGCCTTTCTCTGGCCACTGCTCTTCCAATCTATTATTAGGTCAGTCAAAGAGAACCTTTCCATTGGAGGCTGAGATTCCATAAACTTGCGGGTGTAATTTTTATTTAACTTGTTTTTGAGAGAGAGAGAGAGAGAGAGAGAGAGTGAGAGAGAGTGAGCAGAGGAGGGGCAGAGAGAAAGGGAGAGAGAATTCTAAGCCAACTTCACACTGTCAGCACAGAGCCTGATGCAGGGCTCCGTCCCACAACCCTGGGATCATGACCTGAGCTGAAATCAAGAGCCAGATGTTCAACCGACTGAGCCACCCAGGCACCCTGTGAGTGTAATTTTTAACATTCGATGTTATGCTTCAGCGTAAAAGGTTTTTTTTAAATCTTTAAATAACTTACTTTATTATCACAACAATTTTTGTGTGCTTATTAGTTCAACAAATATTTTGACTGTTGGCTTAAGATAGAACTTTCTCAAGATTGTTGTCTGTCACTTCTTATTCGTCTGCTTTTCAGCTTCTGAGTTTTTGTTGTTATTGTCTTATTTTTTATTTTCTTTATTCTATTGGGTTTTTGGACTTTAAAAATTCCTTACCATCTTTTAGTGGGATCTTGGAGAGGAGCTAAGTGGGCATGTCAAATTCATGATCTTTAACTGAAAATCCTCTTATCTCTGTAAGCATTCAAACATTTTTATTGTATCTTACTTGCATTTATCTGTCTTAATGTTAAGGATTTTGATATGTTTTATCAACTAATCTAATCTAATGTAAAGTAATAATGTTTTTGAATTTTAAAATATTAAATGTTTTTAAATTTTAATTTTTACTAAGAATCCAGGGTTAAAGATTTTGGGTATTTTTGAATAAAATGATTACCATTAAAAAAATTCTTAACTGTATAGTATGTTGACTGACATGAAAATAGTTATAGATAAAGTCTAAAATTATATTTTTCGTATAATCTTATTTAATCTTCATGGTTATAAAAAGCAGTGGTAGCTTTTTCAAATACTTCCTCAATACCATTTATGATCATTGGAATTTTATTTTATTTTATTTTTTATTTTTTTAATTTAGTGTTTATTTATTTTTGAGAGACCGAGAGAGACAGAGTGTGAGTGGGGG